AATGAGAGATAGATTGAGAGATAGAAAGAGGGGGAGAGGAGGGAGGGGGGAGGGGGGAGGGGGGGAGGGAGGGAGGGGGAGGGAGGGGGAGGGGAGGGGGAGAGGGGGAGAGAGAGGGAGACGGGAGAGGAGAGGGAGAGAGGGAGAGGAGAGAGAGGGAGAGAGAGAGAGGAGAGAGAGAGAGAGAAGAGAGAGAGAAGAGAAGAGAAGAGAGAGAGAGGGAGAGAGAGAGAGAGAGAGAGAGAGAGAGAGAGAGAGAGAGAGAGAGAGAGAGAGAGAGAGAGAGAGAGAGAGAGAGAGAGAGAGAGAGAGAGAGAGAGAGAGAGAGAGAGAGAGAGAGAGAGAGAGAGAGAGGAGAGGGAGAGAGGAGAAGGGGGAGGAGAGAAGGGGGGAGAGGGGAGGGAGAGAGAGAGGAGAGAAGAGAGAGGGGGAGAGAGAGAAGGGGAGAGGGGGAGAGGAGACGAAGAGGGAGAGAGATGGAGCGAGAGAGGAAGAGGAGAGAGGCGAGAGAGAGAAGGAGAAGAGGAGCGAGAGAGAGAGGAGAGAGAGAGAGAGAGAGAGAGAGAGAGAGAGAGAGAGAGAGAGAGAGAGAGAGAGAGAGAGAGAGAGAGAAGAGAGAGAGAGAGAGAGAGAGAGAGAGAGTGGAGGGGGGGGGGGGGAGAAGAGAGAGAGAGAGAGAGAGGAGTGGTGGAATAAGTGCGTGCATATTTGCTTGTCTGTTTAGACGTGCATATGTAAATCGAGTGAATCATTAGCCTCAACCGTTCCCCATCGTTGTCACCCCATTTACCTCTCTGGTGATTTACCACTGGCCGCTTTAACGAAGGGCTATCAGTCTCCTACAATCCAGCCCATAAGCGAGATAATGGCGGATAATGCACGCGAGCTCACGCGGAAAGCTCTTCACAGAGGGACAACGTTGGCGACACTGTCCGTCTCTCTCTCTGTCTGCCGGCCACTGCTCCCGTCAGTGCCACGGCCTCTGCCCCCGTGCGACTGTGTCTGCT